TATATATATAATTTTAAGTGTAAGTTTATAAAATAAATTAGGTTCCCTTTTAACAATTCCTATACAAAGTGTTCAGTGACATAAATTACATCTTTTCTATTGCCTCAACATTCTAACTGCATTGTAGTAGTTGCGTTTCCAGTGCCCTAGTCTCCCTGCCTCTCTATCCTTGCTTTAGAGTGTTGACCTTTCAGTCTTGTATCAATTTTTTTCCTTTTCTACTGAAGCACTTACTCACGTATGATAGCCTTTATTTTATGTGCCAGTTTGTTAGTTTGATAAATGATGACCTTCGAGGATCACCATTTATCAGTCCAATTCAACTGACATTCAATTCAAATCAATTTAATTCAATTCAAGGTTTAAAGCGTATCTCAGGGTGATACTCTAGAGGGTCTCAAGTGGCCCAGTGAGTGTGGATTTTTTTTACTTTGAGTTTTTCTCCCATTGTTTCCACTGAGACCCTGATCAGAAGAGTTAGTTGTGACAGCTACCAGGAGGCTCGTTATGTTGGATGTCAGCCCTGTAGACTCATTTCTTCTCTGAAACTTCAGTTCCCTTTTTTCTCTTTTGCTCCAGGTGACTAGAGACCAACTGTTGTATCTCAGATGGATGCTCGCAAGCTTTAAATACCCCTAGATGGTACTTAACCTCACAAGGACACGGAGCATGATCTCCGCGATACCAGCCGACTGATTTTACCCCTAAAACTAAGGTCCTAAGTCTTTAAACCAGACATCCACTCTTGCGAGTTGTTTCATTAATCTGAGAAGTCATTTGAGGTGTTGAGCCAAAGACTCACTTCTAGGAATGCAGCCTGTAGAAATCGTTGCACAAGTTTTCATATTCACACAGCAGGGTTTTCTTCATAGTAGTAAAACATTACAAAACCCCTCAAGCCATCAGCAGGGATATGGGGAAATTTGGACACATCTGTACCTTGGAATACTATGCAGTGGTTAAAGGAAATAGTAGCTTTGTATGTTTCAACAGGAAACATTTACCGAAGGAGTGTTGAAGTTTAAAATAAAACAAATAGTATAATAATAATTTTTATTTACAAAACATATATATATGCATAAAGGTTCACAGTTCAAATCCATCAGATGCTCTACAGAAGAAAGAAGGGAAATCTCCTGCCATGTGATTTATGCCCTTGAAAACCTTCTGGAGGGTCAGCTCTGAGTTGATGATGACTCGATGGCACACAACAACAGTAACATTATATGCATAAAAGAAGGACCTCTGGTGGCCTAGTGGTAAGGAGCTGCACTGCCAATCCAAAGGCACTCAGTTCAAATCCACCAACTGCTCTGCAGGACAAAACAGGCAGGGCAATCCCCTTCTGTGTCATTTGCAGGGTCAATTATGAGTCACTCCACAGTAATGAGTTGTGAGTTCCAACTCAGAGTGACCTTCCATCGAAATACTGAAAGATGAAAGGACACAGCTTACCCTTCTCTCGAGAGGCAGCTGGAGGATTTGAACCAATGACCCTTCTGTTAGCAGCTCAACAGATAACACACTAGGCCTCCAGAGCTCCTTTTACTGTATGTTTCTTATATCTCAATAAATTTTTTTTTTTGCGTTAAAAGTAAAGCCTGACATTTTCTCCACATGAACCAAGGTCCCCTGGATTTGAAGTACAAAGGACTCTGAGGAGAGACATCATGTCTCCTCAGTACAAATACTTCCAGGACCAGGCCTACCTCGCCCCATCCCTTAACCCCAGCCCAGCTGCCCTCACCTCATCATGTGGATGGCTTCAGGGTCGCTGGCAAAGCTGAAGGCGTAGCCACTGGATGTGGTGCCAAAGTCGATTGCCACCACCACAGAGAAGGGTGGATGCTGTGGGGCTCGGGTCTCAGGCTTCTGCAAAGGCAGGACGTGGAATGAGCAAGCAGGCAGCAGGAGGGGTGTCCCACCCAGCCCTGGTCCACCTCCACCTGCCTGCCTGCTGGGGGTGGTGGGGCGCCCTCCCCTGAGGCAATAGGCTGAGCCCTGGAGATGCCAGCAGCTCAGAAAGCCTCAGAGCTCGCAGGTGGCCCCGTGCGGGTTCTGGCTCAAGTTCCTTCTTTCTTTTTATTTTATTTTATTATTTTTGCGTGTGTGTGCCGTCAAATCAGATCTGACTGGTACAGGAGGAGACTGTCCCTCCTTCTTCAGCAGAGCATCTGGTGGATTTGAACCGTGCACCTCTGTGATTGCAGTGCAGCTTCTTGCCACTAGGCCACCAGAGGTCGCCTCAAGTTCCTTCTTTCTATCTGTTTCCCTTCTCCCTCCTCGGCCACCTGCCCCACCCCCATCTCCAGCCATCCTTCAGCCTGTCACCAGCCTGGGCCCAGCTGGGAGCAATTTTGCTCCTGCAGGCAAATGTGGGCTCATGTCAATTTCACCCCAGGGATACAAGCCAGACTTCAGATTTTTGTGGCACAGGAGAAATGCCTCCTGCCTGAGCCTAGAATGGCCCCTGCCTTCTCCAACCAGCTTGAACTCACTGAAGACAGAGCATCTCTCCAGGCTGGATTGCCCAGGACTGTGTCACCCAGGATGGGGTGGGGCACAGGGGACTTGCAGAGTTCTGTCCTGGATCCTTCTAGCTGTTGCTGTTGCTATGTGCTGTCAAGTCAACCACGACTCCTAGCGGTCCTATGAACATGACCTTGCCTATTCCACACCCTACTCCCCTATCACTCACACGCTCAAGCTCATTTCTACACTCCCCGTGTCAATCTATCTTGTTCGAGGTCTTCCTCTCTTTCTCGGAACCTCCCCCTTTCCCAGCATGCTGCCTTTTCCCAAGAGCTGGTTCCTCTTAACGACAGGCCCGAAGTATGTCAGATCAAGAGTCACTGTTCTTGCCTTGAAGGCTACTGAGCACCCTGGCTGAACTTCCTCCAAAACAGACTTGTTTGTTCTTTAAGCAATGTTGTCTCCCTTCCCTTGATTAAGGAGACTATGGGTGACGTAGTCATCCAGCACGTCGTTCGAATCCACCAGCTGTTCTGTGAGAGAAGAATGGGAAATCTCCTCCCATGCAATTTACTGTCTCTGAAAACCTGCTGGAGTCAGGTATGCGACTGCTGCACCACGAGGTCAGTTTGGAAACCTGCTACAGAGTCAGCTTCAATTCAATAGCCCACAACTACAACATGGGTGACACCGGAGTACAGGGGTTCTTCTGAAAGATCCAATGCTCTGAGGACCTAGAAACATCTCATGCTCAGAGGCACACCTGCAGAGGCCCCAGGAGTCACCTGAGGGTCATCTCAATAGAATTTAACAATCTCCAGTCTGGGATCATCCAAGGCCACTCTTCCTGGAGGACCCATGGCTGGGGTGTGCAGGTATGGTGGTGACCCCAGCCATTCCTCCTTCTCAGCCCAGGGCTCTTTGCCGGGGCTGTGCCAGGCACAGGGCTTGGCTTTCAGCAGCCCCAATACCCTCCTATGTCCCCAGGCCACCCACCCACCACCTGGTCTCTGTGAAGGCTTACTGGAGATTGTGATGGTGTCAAAGGGGCAATGCCACAGCTTTCCTGGGTCCTTGGGGAGCCTGGTGGGCTGGGCACTGGAGACCGCTCTGGGCTGGAGCCTAAAGAGAAAAGAGAATAGGTCACCTTGCACCACCAGGACAGGGGGCAGGTAGTAGATAGCCCTGCCCAACCTTGACAATGGGAAGTCCCTGGTGAGCCAAGGAGAGGGGCCCCTTGCTAAGGGAGGGGACTTACAGAGTAGGATAGGTAGGATAAGGTGGGATGGGGGTAGAAGGCATGGACCTGGAGACCGCTGGGACCCTAGACCAGGGCTTGGTCCCATAAAGGTACTGACAATGGACGAGGTTTTCGGAGCAAGTGGAGGCCCTGTGAGTAAGTGTTCATTTCAAACCTGGAGTTGGGGCCTGTTATCAAGCTTCAGCGCCTCCCCCCGCCCCGGAGAAACAGGTTCAGGGGAGAAAAACAGAGAAGTTCTGTGATGGGGGAACTGAGACCAGCCACAGAGCAGGAGGGTTGGGGAAGAGTGCTCCTGGAGGGTGGGGAGCGGAAGACGCCCAGAGAACTACACCCCTAACTGGGTGGGGGTGACTTCTGGGTCAGAGATGGGGCTACTTCTTTTCCCTCTAATGTCCAGCCACATGGTTCTAATCAGGACTTGAGGTGCTGCCCTCATCCCCCACTCCTTGTAAAAGCCCACAGACAGGCCCAGCTGGCCTCTTGGAGAGGACAAAGAGAGGGAGGGCAGCCTCTTCCCTACATCTTCCCTGAGCTGGGGGTTGAGCACAAAGCCAGGGGATGACCTGAGCTGGGAAGGCCAATGTCCCTGAGATCCTCCTGCAGAAGCAGATCTGGGTTCAACCTCTGGTGACAGGGGTGTGGAGCTGCTGGAAGGCAGCCTCAGGCCTGGGCAGGTCAAGGAGAAGGGGACTGGATGGATCTCATTCATGTGTGGACTTGTCACCATTCCACTTAGCTTTGCTATCGTCCATTCCAGGGGCTCGACAATCATCCATGGGTTATCACAGACAGAGACCTGTGCAGAGGGCTTGGGAGGCTGGCCAGTGAGACTAAGAAGGTCTCACTGAAGAAAGGCCATGGATCTTCTGCAAGGCAAGTCTGTCTGACTCCAGGCTGAGCAGGGCCTGCGGTGTCTGTCACAGCCCTGCTGTGTTGTCCTAGACAGGCCCTATCCCTGGCTGGCCTTGGGTGTCCTGGGAACATGGGCGAGGGGCCAGGGAGAAGGGGACTCTTGGAAGCACCTGCAGTCTGTCTGGAGGTGCTAGGGAGTGGGGCATGATAGGGTCCTCACTTTCCTCAGGCCGTCAGCACAGGCTTAGGCCCTGCCACCAGCTCCGGCTTGAGGAGCCAAGCTGCTGAGGTCGCAGCCTGGGAAGGGAGGCAGGAAGGAAGGGCCAGCCCACCAGGTCTTTGTGACTGGACTTCCTGAGGAGTGTCCCTCCTGCCTCCCACCCCTGCAGAGCACCCGGAGCCTGCTCCCAGCCCGGGCCCGGCCGACGTGCTCAGGCCCACAGTTCTGTGCGCACAGGGCCACCTGCCACAAAGGCTCACACAGGCCCTGGGCACAGGGACCCACTGCGGGCAGATGCACATGTGCACACACACAGTCCCATGTACACAGCCCCTGCCCAAAACACACCCCCACATACACAGTCCTGTGCATACACACTGCACCACACACGTGCACACATTCTTACATACAGAGGATTTGTGAACACAGCTCTGACTCAAGCATGTACACACACATACACAGTACTGTGGGCGGAGACCCTTCTAGCGTGTGCATGTTCTCTCTGTCTCTGTCTGTCTGTCTGTCTCTCTCGCTCTCTCTCACACACACAGACACACACAGAGTCCTGTGAGCACAAACCTGCCCATGCATTTATACAACACACAAATACACAGACAGCCATGTAGTCCCATACACACAGGCCACACACACACACACACACACACACACACACACACACACACTCTCTCTCTCTCACTCAGGGGGTAACACAGACCTGCCCTTGTGCAGGAGCACTCTCACAAACATCTGTGCACACGGAACCTGCATCATGTGCACACACGCACACTGACTCAATCTCTGCTGGGACAGGCCCATGGGGACAGACAGGGGTTTGGGTCTCTGTGCCAGAGGTGATTGGATCTTGGATAAGGGGTGACGGGGTGGGGGGGGGTGTCTTACCAATGTACAGCCCCTGTAGGCCGGTCTCCGGGACAGCCAGCATCTTTGCAGGCCCTGCAGCTGTGAACAGGAACCGAAAGACGGTATTTATTTGCTCCTTTGTTCCCTCATGGAATGTTTATTTACTTTATTTACTTCTGGCTGGAGTCCTCCAAAGCACATGCCAGACATCATGTTGTTTCACCTATAAATTCTTCAATCTGTGTCCCAAATAGAAGACTGAAGTAGATGTTGTGGTTTTTTTTTAAATAAATAAATAAAAACAAACCCAGCATTACCACAACAGGGTTATCATGTCTAACAAAATTAACAGAACATGGCCTAGCGGAGTTGGCCAGTCACGACCAGCAAGATAGCCAGCAGAGTGGATTTCAGACCACAAACAGTGCTGAGGGCGTGGAGGGGAACGGGCACCACGGGGCTGCAAGGGGGCTGGAGGACAGCCTGGACATAGGACCTCAGGAGTGCTGGGTAGAGCCCCAGAGGCAGGCCTTTGGGATCCTCTATCAGATTTCGCTTCGTTAGAAGCGTTGTAGTAACCAGAGGGCCCCTTAGAGGCAAGGATGGTGAAACTTCATCTCACATACTTGGGGCACGTTGTCGGGGGATGGGGGGCAGTCCTTGGAAGAAGACATCATGCTGGGGAAGGTGGAAGGTCAGAGAAAGAGAAGACGACACTCAAAAAGATGGATTGACTCATTGTTTTCCTTCTGAAGTGTCGAAGCCTTTGGGGATGATGAGGATGGAGTGAGATAGGGCAAGATTCCGATGTGTTGTTCATAGAATCACCAGGAGTCGTAATCAGCTTGATGGCACCTGACAATGACAACAACAACAGCAGGGCCACTGCAGTCACCTGTGCACTATGAACGAAAGAAACACTCTCTCGCCCTGGTTGGTTTCTGGAAGCCAATCAGTACACCTGTCTTTCTATTCTCCCCATTAGGCATCCTAAGAACACCCACACCTCCAATGACAGGGGGTGGTGACTGTCCATGAGGAGCTCTGGGTGGAAATCAAGAGGGAATTCTACCACCGAACCACCACAGCCTCAGAGCCATTTAAGAGAGGGGTCACTCAAAGCCGGCTCACTGCTGTCAAGTTGGAACTGACACGTAGCTTGGCCTCCAGTGGGTTTGCAGAGGCTGTGAACGGCACTGAAGGAGATGCCCCATCCTTCTCCTGAGGAGAAGCTGGTGGATTAAAAGTTAAAAGTCAATAGGGTTGATGGAAGATGTCTGGGCTTGGTCTGGGAGGTTAGGAGGAAGAGGGAATCAAAGGTGGCATTGTCTAACTCAAGTGACAAGATGCACAATGAGATAGAGAATCCTGGAGGAAGCGTAGGGTGGCAGGGGAATGGCAGAGTTTTGGGTATGGCCTTAATATTGCTATGAGAACATATCAAGTGCTAAGAGAACATATGTCCTGGAGGTCTAGGAAAAATCTGAGGTAGACATATGCATGGCCATGGGAAGCTGGAGACAGAGAAAAGTAGGGGGAAGGAGGCGAGCAGAACCTGTGTCTAAAGGCCAGACAGAGGAAGATGTACTAGCCAGTGGGGTTAAGCCACCTCCTACAGCTTCATGAAGGTCAATATGAAAGATGGTGTGAAGCTAGGTGTCTTTGACAGGTCAAGGTCAGTTAAGACTGGAGACACTTGTTATTTTACTGGTCCATAGAAGCCATTGCTGTGGAATGGTGGAGATGGGGTGGTGGGTAGGCGAGGAGTGAGCAGAACATAAGCCAGGGAGCTAGCATGTCTGAGAAACTTGGCTGAGGTCAGTGCATGTGAGGACAGCAGATGATTGGAGGCAAAGCTTAGGGAAGTATTTTTTGTAATTGAGATTTTAATGAAAGTTTATAAAGAACTTGGGTTTCATATCTTCATTGTTGCACATTTTCTTCCCTGTCTCCCCTTACCCCCAGATGGCCTTTTTCTTTGGGGAAAAAAGTTCTTTCATTGTTATACAACTCCCACCCCCCACCCCAGACCACTTTACTATGCAGCTCTTATTCTGGACTCTTGTCATGTCAATAATACCTAATTATATATTCTCTTTATACAGTTCTCTCCTTTGTCTGGTTCAATGCTGTATAGATTATTTATCCCCTCTTTTCTTAGTTTCCCCCCAGTCCACTGTTTTACAACAGTGGCATTATGCCACATTTGTCCTTTTGTGACTGGGATATTTCACTCAGTATAATGTCCTCCAGTATCACCCATTTTGTATAATATTTCATGAGTTCCTTGTTTTTCAATGCAGTGTAGTATTCTATTGTGTGAATGTACCACAGCTTCTCTATCCATTCATTTGTTGATGGGCACGTGGATTGTTTCCAACTCTTTGTTATTGTGAACAAACTAACAATAAACATGGGTGTGCATATGTCAGCTTGGGTGGCAATTCTGGTTTCTTTAGGGTATATTCCCAGTAGTGGAATTGCTGGGTCAAATGGTATTTCTATTTGCAACTTTTTGAGAAAGCGCCATACCGCCTTCCACAAGTGGTTGCACCATTTTACACTCCCACTAACAGTGAATAACGGTTCCAGTTTCTCCACAACCTTGCCAGCATTTGTTGTTTGCTGTTTTGTTAAATTTTGCTATTCTTACTGGGGTGAGACAATATTTCACGTTGTTTTGTATATTTTCTAAGGTGGGAAGAATGTGAGCTGGTGTCTGTGATATTCTGGGAACCAAGCTATGGAGGCATCATCCCTCACACAGCCAACAGCTTTGTTATCAAGATGTGGCCTCAGGGTTGGCAGCCTCACCATCACCTGGGAGCTTGTTAAAAATGCCACTTCCTCAATTTTGGCCAGTATTTTATAGAAACAAGATCCCTGGGTGATTCAGGGAGCTCGGGTGGCCTACTGGATAAGGTGTTGTGCTGCCAATTCATAGGCAGACAGTTCAAATCTGCTAGCTGCTCTGAAGGAGCAAGACAGCCAAACTGTGTTATATACAGCCTCTGAAAACTGCTGGAGGGTCAGCTGGGAGTCACTTCCAACTGGACGTCACATAACAGCAGCAACAGCAGCTGAGTGACTCAGATAGACACAGTAACACTTACCAAGTGATGCTCAACTGTTCACACTGAGATAGTCTTTGATACATGGATGATGCTATTGATCTCAGCTGTGGAGCTGGCTTCACGTGAGCAAAGGTGTGACTACCCACCCCCTCTTTGTAACTAGTGAGCCGATCATGGAGTTTTGCAAAAAGAACATAAGCAGCACAGAGCTGGGCACTGGCCCATACACACACCCTCCAACCCCCTCACTCACACCCTCCACATACACAGTTCACACAAATCCAAGGTTAAGTAGGTCCAGCAAGGCCAGGTAGGATCAGTACCACGCAAATTTCCAGGGGCATGCGGTCCTGTTGTGACTGGAAATACACAATACGATGTCCAGAAATCTGAATCTTGGCAAGATGGAAGCTCATTTTAGGACTCCTATAGCAGCTGAGTTGATGCTGAGACAAAGGAAAGCAAACAGAGAAGGTAGAGATGGGCCTTGGGAGCCAGGGCCAGGATCCACAGGTTTGTGAGAGCCAGTTCTGTGCATCTCTTCCTCGTTCTGCATTCAGTGACACCACAAGGGCAGCTTGAAATCAGTATGGCCAGGGGTGTTTACACCACAGACATTGGCAAACACTACGCATCAGCCTGTTTTCCCTCTGAAGTGTCAACTGGAAGGCACTTGCCAGCGTACCGCTGGACTGAGGCCAGCAGGGAGGAGCTAGAGGCTCTATTTGCATGTTGTTTCAATTCTTCAGCAAACATTTATTGAGGATTTCTTTGTGCCAGGTTCTGTGCTAAATGCTGGGGAAATATTTTGCTGAAGGAAGGAATGATCCCCCCCCCCCCCCCGAGTAAGGCTGTTGTACCAGGAACAGAACCATAAGGAGGGAAAAAAGGACTTTGGAGTTAACACTCTGAGCAATTCCATGGCCAGACCAGGCATGTGCTCCTCCCCGGGGCCCTCAGAGATGGCAAAGGCCTTTGTTATGGCAACTGGCTTGGTGCATCATTGCATCTCCGTGCCTCAGTGTCCTTTCCTAGAAAATTACTTATGAAGACTATCCAGCCCTCGTTTTAGATAAAGACAAGAGAGTTGGATCCTGGACAGATGTGAGCAGCATTCATTTCCTTCACGATGCGGATCTTGAATTGTGTCTTACTGGAAGATCTTTGTGCTATTGAGACTTTTATCGTAATTATCCTGAATTCTCTGTTGTTGTTGTTGTTGTTGAGTTGGCACCAACTCATTTAATAACTGACCCTCTAGTGAGTTTTCAGAGGCTGTGAGTCATCACATCAAAGGAGACTGGCCATCCTTTCTCCAGTGTGGCAACTGGTGAATTTGAACCGGGTGCCTTTGGGATGGAAGTGCAACTCTTCTAGATCTCTAGCTGAGTAAAAACCAAAACCAAATCCCCTGCTGTTTACTTGGTTCCACTCACAGAGACGCCCCATGAGGTCCCTGAGACTGTAAATCTTTACGAGGAAACTTTCCATCTTTCTTCCTTGAAGCAGCCAGTGGATTCAAACTACTGGCCTTTTAGTTACTAACCTGATATGTTATGCATTGCCCCACCAAAGCTCCTTTTAGGGAGATAACAAACCCAAATTCAATTGCTTCTGAGTCGATTCTAACTAAGTGATTCTGCATTGGGTTTCTCAAATACAACAACGGGTGCATTCAAACTGCTGATCTCTTGGTTGTTGTTGTGTGTCACTGCGTCGGAACCAACTCATAGCTGACCCTTCAGAGGGTTTTCAGAGGCAATTTAATTTGCAAGGGAGGAGATTGTCCACCCTTCTCCCTCGGAGCTGTTGGTGGGCTTGAACCTTGAGCTTTTGGTATTGCAGCGCAGCTCCACACCACTAGGCCACCAGAGCTCTGATCTTTTGGAGAGCAGCACAAAATGCAACACATCATGTCTCCAGAGTTCTCCTTAGGGAAGGAGGTAAAACCCAAGTCCCCTTGTGATATAAAAGGAGGATCTTGCCAGTTTGTCCAAAGGTGGAGGTGGAATGGGATGACA